ATACACACACAATGGAATATTATTCAGCCATAAAAAGAATGCAATCTTGCCATTTGCAACAACATGGATGAATCTAGAGAGTATAATGCTGAGCAAAATAAGTTAGTCAGAGAAAGACAAATACCATATGATTTCGCTCATATGTGGAATTTAATAAAACAAATAAAGTAAAAAAACTAAAAAACAGACTCTTAAATGTAGAGAACAAACTGATGGTTACCAAAGGGGGATGGGTGCAATAGTGAAGGGGATTAAGAATACACTTATCTTGAAGAGCACTGAGTAATGTATAGAATTGTTGATCACTATATTGTACACCTAAAACTAATATAACACTGTAGGTTAACTGTACTGGAATTAAAATTTAACAAATAAACTACTCTGCCATGTTCCCATCACTCTTGATATACTCACAACAGCAACTATCTTACTATGTCATCACCTAAATTGTGAGCAGCTTGAGGGAGTCAGGGTTATTTTCACTGTTGAGGGCTTTTCAAAGTAGCTGTTTCCCAGTTGGCATTCAATTAAATATTGATAGAATGAACAAATGAAAGTATGCACAAATAACTTATGAATTCATTCACAGAACTCATTAAGATTTGTGGAGGGACCTGTATTACTTTATTCCACATAAGCCTAAAAGTGACCAGAAATGAAAACTTTTCATCCTCTTATATTAAAACTTTTCAACATATCTTTATTATTTTTTTTTCCAGAATAAAGTATCTGGAACACAGTAGTAGTTAAATACATATTTGTTGAGTTAGTGAAGAGTCCTAGAAAAATACACAAATATACAAAGTCTTTATAATCTAATGCATATTCTTCCCTCCAGACTCACTTTGTGCCATTTCTACTTTATCCTGTAATAATGAGTAACAGTATGTAATTTTCATTCATGCATCAAATATTTATTGTCACTATTATGTGCCAGGCACATTGGTCCACCGTTTCAAATCGCTTTGTTCCTTTCTTGCTATTCTCTCTTCCTGGAAATTTAAGAAGCCATTCAGCAAATACGTCATTTATTGTGGTTTTCCTACCTTCCTTCCTTAAGTTCAGTTAGTTACCTCCCCTAGAAGGCTGTCCCTGACATCTTTAGTACTCAGTGCTTGCTTCCATCTTAGCCCTCATTACATCAAAGTGAAATGATCTGTGTCTATGTTTGTTCCCCGCCCCCATCCCTATCCCACAATACCGAGGTATTGCTTTCAGAGGGCAGGGATGGAGGTTTTGTTCACCTATGTGTCCCCGGGGCCCAGCACAGAATTTAGGACAGGTAGGACAGGGCCAAAACCCTATATGTAAGTATTGAAAGAATTCCCACAATAAGTGAGTTATGTATTATCTCCAAATTATAGATGATAAAAGGAGGCTTGAAAGGGTTTAGAAAAGTTTTAGAAAAGCCCAAGTTCACACAGTGGTAGAGCCTGTTGTCAAAGGAATTTGAAGAATGAAGCCATCATTGGTTCTAAATGAATAAAACTCCTTCCCACCATCTTTTCTTGAAATTTTCGTTTAGATTTTGTATTCGTTCCTTCTATAGACTAATGACTCCTCGACCACCATAATATTATGAGTGGGGACAATACCCCCTTTTTTTTCATATTGAAAATTGTTTGACCTCTCTCTGGAAGCACCGTGATTTTAAACTTTCTGAACTCACACTCTTTCCGGGGTAGAATCTGCATTGGAGTCCTGGGGGGACGTGATAGGTCCCATGAGAAGGGTCATTCGAAATGGAATGCGGGGACTAAGAGTTTTTCTCTGGACAGGATTCACAGAAGTAGCAGGGGGAGGATGGATCTCATTTTTGATGCACAAATCCTGAGACTTGTGGGAATTTGGTTGTTCACACCTAAGGCGGCGGTAGGGGACTGTGTTGCCCACAGTTAAGATGACTGCAAATGAACATCTCCTTCGGATGGGTCTGTTCTCTTCGTTCATTGGTATTTTCAATGAGAAGTATAGTGAATAAAATTTAGTAAAAGTTGGTGTCTTCTTCCCAAGACGGTAACGTAGGAAGTTGGCATGTTTTGTTTGGAAAACCTTCAACAGGTCAAATTTTCTCTTGCCCTTAACCAAAATGGTCGTAAAGGTTGTCCTATGGTTTGAAGCTTCCAGCCCTTAACTAACATGGCGTCTGGAGCCCGTGAAAAATTAGCTTGCCCTCTTTATGCCCTTAACCATCATGGCCTCCACGGCGTCTAACACGTGACGACCCCGGACTACGGCGCGGGAGAGGGGGTAGGAGGGCCCTTGAAGGGTGCGCGTTCCCGTGGCGGTGCACCGGGTAGGTTTCAGTCAGAGTCACTATGGCGGCCGGCGCTGGCAAGGTAAGGTGAGGCGGCGGCAGCGGCGAGGGAGGCTGGACCCGTCGTGGTGTCCCGGCTCTAAATCCCCGCAGCTTGTCCGCGGAGAGGTTGGCCGAGGTCGTGGCCAGTCGCGGAGACTGGCGGGGGGCGGGTTGAAGGGGGTGCGGGCTAAGGCGGGCGGGCACCGGCGCCTGACGGCCGTTTGTTTTCATGTTTTCCCCACCAGGTCGGAAAGTTTCCTGCCTTGTCGGGCACAGCCTGAGCGTGTCCCACCGGCCGCGAGTGGTGGAGGCTGCGGCGGACCCAGCCCGGGGCCTCCAGGCCTCTCCCCTAATCTCCGGGCCAGCCTCCCTCCCCCACCTCCTCGTCCGCTGGGAGCTGTGGCTGCCGTCCCTGAGATGCGACCCTCGCGGGGGCGACCCTGAAAGAAGGCGGCCGGTGTGCTGAGCAGCAGCCAGGAGCCCAGGCGTTCAGGGACCAACTTCCTGCGGGCCGAGACCCCTGAGCCTCCCCGGGGTTGTGCCTCGCTCGGTCCGCACCGGCCTGCCGAGCCAGATCTCTGCCCTGGGCGCGGGGACGCCCGCCAGGTGCCCGGGAGTCCCGACTCGGCCGCTGCCCGCGCCTCTGTCTGTCCCCGCTCCTCGCGCCAAGGACCCCAGCTACCGCCGTCTCGGCTCGTGCCAGGGACCTCGTGCCACCTTCCGGGCGGCCTCCGCGCAGCAGGAGCAATGCAGACTGTCCCGCTGACGGTCTAGACCCTCTTGCCGCCCCCCTCGCCTCTGCCGTTGCACTCCCCGAGGCCCTCGAAGAGGGGCGGTGGCTGCCCAGAGGTGCTCGGCTACACCTTCCTTCGGCCCGAGAGGACCTTCCTGGCCGCACGGAACCGACCCTTCCTTCATGCTGCAGTGCCGCAACATTTCCGCCACCGAGGGGGAAAAGCGGCCGCGATCCCAAACAAAACACAAGAATCGGTGTGTGACTCATCTGCTTGGATACCTCCAGTCCCCAAACTGTCTTCCAGGAGTTTTCTTGGCCGAAGCTGGCCGATGTTTGAGCCTTTTCTTCCCAGGGAAGAAGATGGACTGAAAGCTGCCCGTTGGGGACTTTGTGCGATCCGGGCGCTGCTGGGTTTTAAAGGAGGTGATGGGGCTTGCGGTGGCTTGTCTTCCCACTCAAGTGAAGAGTTGTTGATGTTCACTGGTTATGCTTAGACAATGCGCAGTTTGTTTTAATTTAAAATTTTGGGGGGGATAGGGGGATAGGCTTGTGAAGGGCAGTCCGGATCCGGTGGAACTCCTCTTTGTACCTTGGTAGGAGAGACACCCCCAGTCTGTCCTCGATGCCGTCAGCCTTGGCCATCTTCACTTGCCGCCCGAACTCGCACCCATTTCAGGAGCGCCATGTCTACCTGGACGAGCCCATTAAAATCGGCCGCTCCGTGGCCCGCTGTCGACCAGCGCAGAATAATGCTACCTTTGATTGCAAAGTGCTGTCAAGGAACCATGCTCTCGTCTGGTTTGATCACAAGACGGGCAAGGTAATGTCACTACGTTATCTAACAATCTTTACTTTTCGTTTCCCTTTGCTCTTTTTGCATAATGTATGCAGGATCCCAGCGTTTGCACCCAGAGGAGACTTTCAGCAAGGCCATGGACCAACTTTTTGTGTGTCTGGTTCTATTGGAGATTAAGTTGAGGTGGTTGAATGGAAAACAGAGAAGGTACTGTAATTAAATGCCTCAGGAGGGCGATGGCATCTTGATAATGTGGTCATTCCCAGTGAAATCCCAAACCCTAATTCATTTCGGGAAAACTAGGTAGTGAAACTTGGCTTCTTGCTTCCAGTCTTTTTAGAAAGGTGAATTTGCCGTTCAGTGCTTGAATAAGCAAGCAGCAGTTCCCAAAGCAATGCTGCAAATCTGTGGCGAGTATTACACTGGGGCTCAGGTGTCTCAGTGGTGAGATGTAGTTAACACAGCTTTTAGTTGAGTTCAGATCAGGGTCTTTCTAGTAAGGACAGTTGTTTGTGTAAATTTACAGTTTTGAAAGATTTGATACATATTTACCCATGAAGGCGTAATTTGCAGTTTTCAAAGCCAGTTTCATTAAGCATGAACAACTGTAACTTTACGTTTTCAGAGTTTTGTTTGCAAGTTGGGTGAACATATATGTATTGCTTTTGAAAATCACTTTTTGATGTTCCCTGCAAGAACTTTTTAAAAATCCTTAATGCATACTTACAGAGGTGATATTTAAAAATCAGTGTTAGGAAATTAATTTACTTTCTGAAATTATATCCAATTCTATCAAATATTGCATTACCTAGATGTGATAGGATGAATTTAATGCCCTTTATTTTAAGTGTGACCCTTTTGCATTTTTAAGTTGGCACCCTAATTTACTATACATGTGGGTGCTTATATTTTAAGAATACAAGAAAAAAATTAAATAAGACCCTTTCAATTTTTAAAACCTTGTGTGTGTGGAGAATATACTGAAGAACTCATTTTTGTGCTTTTACCTCAGGTTTTCATTGAGATACTGAATCAGTTCCAACTTAGAGTAAGTTATGTAAGACTAATAGGAATACCTTGGGCTTCACCTCATGACTTTTCGCTCCCTCTTCCTGAGTTAAATGATTAAGTCTTTTTTTAAAAGAAGAATTTAAGTTTTCAATAGTAGTATTTTGAAATGGAAGAAACCTGAGCCTCAGAAAAAAGAGAGAAAGCAATACTTCTGTTGCTACAGAATTAAGGAATTATTACAGAAATCATTTTTCAAAGAAAGGAGGAAAAGATTGCACTTGCGTAATACCTATGCCCTACTCTGTGTGTAGGATAAGAACTGAAAAATACGTTAATTTTTCTGTGTAACACCAGATGTTCATTTACCTATGGAACAGACCCTTTTTTTCTCCCTAGAAACTAAAGTTTGGGTGTCTGAAAGACTTCATAGATTACCCATAATCATTTAAAGTGAGTATTCATAGAACTCATCTTTCCAGCTATCCAATTCAAACATCAGTTAACTGCTAGTGCCTTAACTCAACCAACTTTGATCTTTTTGTCTAAGCTAAGGTCCAATTAATCAGATAACAGGTTTGCTTAAAGTACATAATCTGCAAATGCACCTGCTTTACTTTGGTACACTACTCAAAGGAGACTCAGATTTTTTTCTTCTACTTATTTAAAAAATAGTGATTACATGAGCAGTGCTTTTCATGGCTATACTAAAACCCCCACAGTAGGTTATTTTGAGATGGCTAAGGGTAGATCCATAGTGAGTATTGTATGAATTGAGATGACGTGTTAAAATTTTGAATGGAATTTGTAATTAGAAAAACTTATCTTTAAAAGATACACAGCTTATTTCTACCATTTTCACTTTTTTTCCTGCTTTAGCTAAAAACAGGATTTGAGGCCATTACTTAGGTATAGATATAATTATTGATTATTGCACAACCTAATCTAGTAAAAACAAATCACCTGTCAGATTTTGCCATGTGATCAAATTGTTTTAGGAATAAAATTATTTAAAATTTAGGTTTGTACAGACAGGTTTTTATTGAGCACCTATTATGTGCCAAGTATCCTGAGGCACAGTTCCAAAGAAAACCCACAGTTTGACCAAATATCACTTATTGTTTTCTATGTGTGAAATTTCCAGTTTGAGGATTTCTGCTACAATTGTCTCGTGACAAGTCATTGAGCCTAATATATATTCCCAGCAAATTCCTTTATACAATAATATAATCCCTTCCTATAAGCATCACCTCAGGCAAGCTTTTATTTTTCAAACATCTCATCTCTAAGCTTTAGTTTTCTGGGGATAATAGTGGTACCTACTATTGTTTTGAGGATTGAGATAATCATGTAAATTACTTAGCACCCTGTTTGTGGCCCTTATTAAGGGCTTAGTCCTTAGGGAGGAGGGTGTTTGAGGTGTGGGGAAGAGCGAACCATCTAGGCAGCTCTTTGCAATTTCTGTAGTGCTGTGGAGTCCTAGGAAGGTAATGAGAATTGTTTTTTCTTTCATGTGATGGCATATGTAGAAGTAATCTTTTAAATGGAAACGTATGAAGTTGAAAACTTTGTTCAAATTGGCACTTCTCTGGGCGGTGGAGAATTGGAGTAATATATACCCTTTGGTTGACTTTTACCTTGTGATTTTTGCATTCTGCACTGGCCATTAATAGGAGACCCATTAAAAGCTGGAAAAAGTAATAAACACTCGAAACTTTCTGATTATTCAAGTAATACATACTCATTGTAGAAAATCTGCAAAACATAGGCACGTGGAAATCTAGGTGACACTTTTTTTTAAGATTTTTTTATTTATTTGACAGAGAGAGAGACAGCAAGAGCAGGAACACAAGCAGGGAGAGTGGGAGAGGGAGA